TAACTGTAAATTCTGATTTTCACTATCAGTAAACTGATTTCTAAGATTATCTACTTGCTGAATTGAATCATGTGATATTGATCACGCTCAACTGTAATATTTTGCAAAGTAACCCGAATAGTATTTAACGAGCCTCTGATGCTATCTATAATATTGGCAAGATTTTGCATAGGCGTACTAACTCCCTTAATGTGATTTTTAATTCGTTTTAATCCTCTATTAATGTTAGTAATAAGATTAGTTGTTGCTATATCTAAAGCATTTATTGAGATTTTTTTATCTATAAGAATCCTGATTCTTACTTTAAGACTCCTAACCTTATTTTCAAGCTCTATGATTCGACCATCTTGAATAGACCCAACCTCATCTTTGAATTTTTTATCTTGTTGTAAGATCCTAAGCTATTTTCGCAAATCAGATATTTCTGATTTAAGTTTCTCTACCTTTTTTTTGTGCGCTATGATAGTATTATCCTGTAATGAAATAGTTTAATAACATTGCTCAAGCTCCTTCACAAGAGAGCGAAGTTTTTTCTCATTGCTCTTATTAATAAAAATCTCATCTTAAAGCTCACTACGAAGCTCCTGATTCATATCTAATCAGTTGTAAATATGCTAGATCATATGAAAATGTAGATATAGTATTTTCAATCTGATTCAAAGAGCTTTATATAATCGTAACCTGAGAATGAGTCAACCATAGATTATAATAAATCCTAATGAAGAGCTCCGCATAGTATATAGACTTCTGTATTATAATATTCCTGGATTTTGTCTGAATGCTAAGAAATTGCAAAAAAAATGTCAAGATAAAGGGTTTCGAAGTTTTCAATTGTGGGCATTACAAAGTGGTTAGAGTATCAATATAGCTATCAAATTTATCGACACCCATTACCTTGTAAAGCTGAGGTGAGTTTTTCAAAAATTAAGATTCTGAACAAAGTCCATCAATGTGATATATTGCTTCATACCCATGATCAGGATGGTAGGAGGGTATTCGTTTGTAGTTTTCTAATCATAGATATAGTAATACATTTAAGGATAGACGTTCATTAATATTGAGAAATAGCTTAGAAATCTGAAATGCCATCAAAGAAATATATGAGGATCCTTCTAATCCTCTTACATAGCCAGAATTATTGATGACTGATGGTAATACTTCATTCTAAAATGCATTTTCACGAGGGATGTAACAATATAATATTACTATATGTGTTGTCGACCTTTATAGTTTTGAGAGTTTGGCTTTCATTAAAGCGTATAAGAAAATAATTGTACAATTAACATATAAGGCCCAATATGCTATAGAGGGACAATTAACCGATGGGAGGCGATCAAGAATATTTAGGAGAATCCTCAAGAAGTATATTAATTATCTGAATAACAGTAAGACTCGCCTTATTGAAATGTCACCAGCTCGTACTATGACTTTGAAAGAAGTTGAATCAAAGCTTTCTAAAAAACCTAAGCGTGCAATGGGAAAAGATGAGGAGATAAAATTATAAAAAGGTATAGCAGTTAGATATCTGTTAAAAGCAGGCGAGTTGGAAGGAGACCATAGATGTAAAGTAACTGACCCATACTGGAGCTTGCGTGTATATAGAATAAAAAGAGTTGTTGTCAGAAGAAATCAACTGCAACCAGTCTTATATTATCTTGAGTGTTAACCTATTGAATCAACTGCCCATCTAATGGGGCAAAATCCAAAAAGATCCTTTAAATATAAGGAACTTCAAGTAATTGAGGAACCTGATAAAATCAAGTATCCACCTGATGGATTTATGCGAAAATATCATCCTATTGGGTTCGTTCATTATATTCAAATTGCTAATGATAATTTAACTGAAGCCTATCAATATGCTGAAAAACGTGATGGTCAATGCCTAGAAAGAACTGGACGAGTAAATAGTCATAATGTTTATCTTTGGTCCTGTGAAAATGGTGCGCATCAATGGGAGTATCTATTAAAATACATCATGAAAAATTTGAATGGTGCCCTCTATGCTACTACACTACCGAAAGAAATGTACATTACATTTTCGAGGATTTAGGTAAGAAATTCTCACCATGTAGGTCTAATTTTTTAGATGGGATGCATCTCGATAGGTATAATGAGGAATTGCGTCTTGCATTCAAATTTTATGGCTGGTAACACTATACTCTTAATTCAATGTTTCATAAAAGAGGCCGGATAGATTTGGATGAACAAAGAATACGCGATCAGAAGAAGCGAGATATATGCAAGAAACAAAATATATGCCTTATCGAAGTGCCCTACACATATGACTTTTTTCCCTACATCAGGTATACGCTAATCGAAAAGGGATATTTGGATGATGCAAGTAGGTAAACCAATCTATTGGGCAAGGCATTTATTGCCAGAACTTGAGAAATTGTTACATTATTTTTCGATATAATAATTAGTTAAATCAAATCATGAAATACATAATATTCGCAGTGAACGAAGTCAAGTCCTCGAAAAAATATCAGGGTGATCCTCATACACTAGCATGGCCTTTTCGAATTATAGTTGCAGGGGCTAGCAATTCGGGTAAAACGAATATGATTCTAAACCTGCTGATGATGAACAAATTTTACTATATGTTTGTGAAAAAAAGAATTCTAAAATAGGTGAACGTAATGTTAAATGCAATAATGTGATACTTTGTAGCCACCATCTTAACGAGTCTAAATATGGAATTATTCGAAACTTTTATAAATATCTTGCGTAAGATAAATCTAAGCCATACTATGAAGATATCACATTCTCTACACTTACTCCTGATAAAATTCCAGATCCAAAAAAGTTCAATATTAAAAGAAGTAAACTAACGATATTTGAGGATGTCTACTCAAACCCTTCAGCTATACAGAAAAAAATTATTCCATATTTTAGTAGAGATCGCTACGAGAATATTTCTTCTATTTATGTCTCACAAAAATTTCACAGGATTCCTACGGATATTCGTGAAAATGCAATGCATATTGTACTCTTCAGTGATAGAGGTTCAACCCGAAAACTTGCTGACATTATAAGTCCTTATACAGATTCTGATCTGCACAAAGCTTCAAAGGTCATTAATGGTTATTTGAGACAAAAGGAATTTGTGGTCATCAATATAAATAAACTGAGATCTGAATCCTTTTCACTTCGATGAGATACTCTGCTCAATTTGAAAAAGAAAATCGAATCATTGGGCAATACTTTCAACTAGCTATACCAACAACCAATTACCTAATAATCATTTACCTGCCAAATTCTGAAATGTGTATTTTTTCTGAACCTCTAGGTCATATTCAGATTTTCTATGTCATTTCGCCTATAAATCTCTTTCACAATTGCTGAAATACGTTTCTAGTTCTGTAGTTACATCACTGTACTTCGTATAAGAAAGAATCTGATCAACAAGAGCGATAATTTTTCTATCCTTGACAGAGATAATATCCTCCAAATACCAGCATTTATTCTCTAATAGGTCAATAGACTTTTCAGCTGATGCAAGAGCTTTTTTCGTATCAGGGATTATACTCTTGAAATAAGCTACTGAATTTGATAATTGGGCGACTTTCCCACCACTCTCTTCCAAAGACCTAGTCATAGCTACCTCACGAGACTTATACTGCTCTTGCAAATCGAGAAGCTCTTCAATCTTTTTTTCTAATGCCTATTTTGATATACACAACTCCTCATTTTCTTGTCTTAACGAAGTTTCACAATCACTAGTAATAGGCTTCATCTTCTGACGCTCTTTTTGCTTAATATAATTTCCAACTGCCTTATTTAACAAATCTTCCACTTTGGGATGGATACTACTTGCTTGTTCTATCGATAATGGATGTTTTTGTAAAGTAAGACGTTACCATATATCTATTTTGATAGAACGAGAAAGCTGGTTAAGTTGCTTTGAGTAATATATGTGAAAAGATAGTGTTAGTATACCAGTCATTTCTTATAGATAATAAAAAAAATTTTGAGAATTTTATGGATTCAGAAATTTTACAAGAATATAGTCATACGCGTCAATGTCGCGAGTAGTACTCTGATTTTTGAGCTGAAACAAGCAGAATCATTTTAACTTTAGGCTCGATTTTAGGAGCACTAGTCACGAGAGATCTGCTAGAAAACTCTGATCAAAAATGCATATGACACCTGACCAATGGTCAACGAGAAAAAATCATTTAGCAGGGGTGTTCTAGCGCTGAAGAAATTTCGCCAAATTAATACATAGTCATATTTTTCGTGATACAGATAATAAGTTTTTTATTAATTCATTTTGCGATTGCTTGTCTTCCAATTTCGCAACTCTGACTTTAAGCTCAACATTCTCAGCCTTGATTTTATTGTTCTCAACCTCAAGTTTGATAATACATTGTTTTAATGAATCGATCTCGCTGGGACCATTTATTTTGGATTGCATGCTTGCATAATGTAGTATTAGTATGTTAATATTCAAAAATAAAAAATCATGTGATTTTTCCTGACCCGAGGTCAGTGAAATTTACCAAGAAAAATTTTATTATTTGGTGCATGCGAAAAATACAATTAAATATTTATCATATACGAAATTGACCACCAGGGTCACGTTTATTAAAACAGTAATACAAATAACAATTAGTTTATTTTTTTTTGAATTTTATAGACTTTCTTTTTTTTTCATTTTTAGTGAAAAAAAAACTATTGGGTGAAACTTTATTAGCTCGTCAAATTATGTGGCACTAGTCCAGGCTAGTTGGTGAATTATTACATTCAAATTGACATGACTTTTTTATAAAGATTATCCATTGCCGATTGTTTAACAAAAAAGGTTAATTTTCTGTTTTGAATTGTATTTATACTATTCTTTTTGTGATCAATGCGATAATGTCACGTTTATTAATTTTGTATATATAAATTGATAATTATTTTGAAAAAAAATGGGTAATCTAATGATGATTGACAAAGCTCCCATTAACGTTATAGAGTAGTCTCCAGAGCACGTTAGAAAATATCTTGAGAAGCATATGAAGAGTTCGCATTTTAAAGAGGATGCTATTAATAAGTTACTAGGTCAAGACGTCGATGAATGGCTTTTTCTTAAATTAACTGAAGAAAAACTTACCCGTAAAAATGGTCCTTATGAACTCAAACCCAGTCCTGCAGAAAGGGTCATAGAGTTAGTTGAGAGACTCAAAGAAAAACAAGGTTAGTTTGTAAATACAATAACTGACTTTCTCGTATCATACCCTTATTCAGTTGCTTTCAACAACTAAATAGAAATACCCCTTGCATCCATTGAAGTCATAACTGCTACTGAATTCAAAAAATTTTATGAAAATAATAAAAGGCAATTAGAAAAGCTTAATAAAATGATGAACACAGTCATCACTGACATCGATCACCTTTCTTCTGATATTAATACAACTAAAGAAGATATTAGGAGAATTAATGGCTGTTTAATGATTTAGAGGCTAACACAATAATTATATTCTCTGTGGCTAAGGCCTATTTTTTACTTGTATGTTGTTTTGGCAACAATTTATAAAATAAAGTGAGCTTTTTAAGAAAAAAATCATGTGCGCGTGAAGATTCTTCACGCTGATCACTTTTGCTAAGAAAAAAAAATACAGATGAATATGTAAAAATAATCGGCCACCAGGTCACTTTATTGATATAGGAAAAATAAAATACAAATATAATATGTTGGCATAGTTAATCTAAAGAAATATTTTTAGAAATTCACACTATTTTTCTTGCTTAATCTTCCAGCTTCACGTGAAGGAGGACTTATATCACTCGTCTTCCTTGATCTTTTTTGAAAACTATTTATAATACTCTGTAAATTTACGATAATTCCATTCTGAAATTAGAGATTTTTGTATCAGTATCATTATATAACTAAGTATTTATTTAGAAATGAAGAAAACACTTACTCGCAAAACTAATAGAGCATGAACGAACTCTTCGATTTTCTCAACTAATTCTTTATTGAGGGGTATTTTTGCTTTAACGACTGGAAGATGGTATTTTATCCCCTTTTCCTTTATTAAACCATGAATCTTAAGATACTTACCTGCAATATTAATACTAAATCTTATATAATTTCGATAGAAGGTTTCTTTTGTGTATTTTTTTACAAGTTCTTTAGACCCATCTAAACAAAGTTGCACTAATTTATTATGGTCGTGATTGATTTTATCTTCATCAGCATTCCATTTCCCACTTTCAAAGAAAATGATTTCTTTCCACTTTTGGCGAAGGTAAACACAAAATATGAGATCTGGTTTATCTCCTCTCAATCTACTTTTTTGCTGAACTTTGCAGTTTTTACTGGCTTTACTTTGACGTTCAGCCCTAGTAACTTCAACCTCATAGTCTACAGGTAAATGATACATGACTATGTCTATTAAACGAGCTATAATTTCTACTAGTATATTCTCAGATTCCTCAGAAACTCTTTAAAGTGCGTTCAGCCTAATCTCCTGTAAAAGGATATCAGTAATTCCACTAGCTACGCATTTCTTAATATGATCATCTTCAATCCATTGATCATACGTTACTATATCTCTCAAAAGCAACACAAATTTCTGTAATTTATGGACTTCATTCCTTTTTGATAAAAAATCGTTGCATATTTTCTTTACTCTCACATCTTTGCTTAAGTTTCTTATGTTGGCCTTCTCTTCCTATAAATATTAGAAGTAATTATTATTACATGGAAATGTATTACCAGTCGTAATTACATCAAGAAAAAAAAATAAAGAAATACATACAACAAGGGATTCATAATTACTTTCCAGTATATTATATTTCTCTAAGCTAAGATCTATTACCCCAATACATAACAGATCATCATTTGATATTTTATTAATATCAATATTGTTTATTACTGTAAGAATATGTTCGTGTGCTGGTGTTTCTTTCTTCTAACCAATCAAAAAAATATTTAGTTTAAAAATCACATGACCGAATTTTTTAAGACGAGAAATAAATATATCGATTACTTTGATTTTATCTTTTAAAAGCATTATATTCTTTAATGTTACAGTTTTCCAATTTACTTCTTCTTCGAATTTTCCTCGTAAGAATCCCATGCTTTTAATGAAACTAGCTCATTTTTAATGAATCGCATCTAAAAATAAATAGATAGGTTAATAAAAATTCAGGAAGACATCATTATTTTTTTTGTGTAAAATCCTATCCTAATCAGAACTAGCCAGCATTATTGTCTTAAAAATTACCGTAGGTGTAATGGAAGAGATTCTCGCTGACAATATGTCGTTTTTTTAATTGCATTACACTTATTAATATCTAGACAATATATTTATCACGTTATTCCTATTTTACAAAAAGAATAAAAATAATATAAATTACTTGGTTAATATTCTGCAAAGATTTAAGATGTTGTTTACGTTCTTTATCATTAACTTCATTCTCTATATCTTTTAAGATCTCTATAAGACAATCGAGACCTTCGTTTTCTGATTAAATTTTGAAACAATTCTACTGCTGGGTGATTATACTAGAAGTGGTTATTTTATCTAAGAAAGAGGTTTTTAAAAAACTGTATAATAAAGTGAAAATTTCAGCTGATAAGCTAGACATAATTTACTAATTTAAGATATAAGAGTTTTTATTAATACACGCCTGGTAAAAAATAAGCAACTATAATTTTAAATTTCATATACTCTCCTTTTAAATAGTTTGCAATTTCCCTATTCACGTCTTCTCTAAGTTTGAATTTATGTTAAGGTCAAAGCGGAAGAATATGCAACAAACCTTTTACTCCAAAATTTTATGTTTAAGAGTAAGATATGCGGAATGTGTATTGTAGATCTCAACATTGCAAAGACGTTGAGGAATATGCATATACATACTTTTTTTATTTCACTTGCTTGACCGCTCAGTAATAAAGGCCTAGTAACATTATATAAATATACTTTGGTCAGAATCTAGTAGGAATAATCTGTAGCAACGTAATGTTCTGGAAGAAATAAACTCATAAATAAATGCTATTCAGATAGATAGGAAAAAAATTCTAAATATTTTAGGGATCAGTTTATGTATAAAATTATTTTGTCACACAAGTATAGTTTCACAGATGATTTGCAGACTATCACATATTACATCATATATACTTTAACG